CTGCACTCCAGCCTGGGTGACACAGCAAGACTCTGAATAAAAAATAAAAAAGAAAAAAAAAAAGTTTTCTTAATCTTTTCTCCTCACTTGAAAGAAAACTGTCCTTAAGAGATCAAGAATGCAAGCAGTTTGATATATGTACCTGTTATGGAATAAACAGAAAAAAAAATCCTTTCACAGCGTTGCCTTTGGGAAGGGAAATGGAGGAGGAGTGGCTGGACTTTCATTTTTATTTTCTACATTATTAAGACTTAATAGGATTTTCTTATATAATTTTAAATACTTTTTTTTTTTGAGATGGATTCTCGCTTTGTCACCCAGGCTGGAGTGCAGTGGCATGATCTTGGCTCACTTCAACCTCCGCCTCCTGGGTTCAGGTGATTCTCCTGCCTTGGCCTCCCAAGTAGCTGGGACTAGAGGCATGCGCCACCATACCTGGCTAATTTTATATTTTTGTTAGAGATGGGGTTTCACTATGTTGGCCAGAATGGTCTCAAACTCCTGACCTTAGCCTCCTAAAGTGCTGAGATTAGAGATGTGAGCCACTCTGCCCGGCCCAAATTTTAAATACATTTAAAAATAATCTACGCAATTCCCAAAGCTTTAGAGAAAGGAAAATGATATCACATTTCTTGGTAATATTTTTCATAGATACAGTCTGGTGATTTGATTTGAGGTAACTTAATTCCACATGCCACAATTTAAAATCATTTTTTGTAGTTGTGATTTTCAAAGATGAGTAACTGCCTAGAATCACCAATAGCAGTGGTTTTCAAAATTTTCGAGTTTGGTTTTCATTTTGTTGTTGTTGTTGTTGTTGTTGTTGTTGAGAGAGTTTCACTGTTTTGCCCAGGCTGGAGTGCAGTGGCGAGATCTCAGCTCACTGCAACCTCTGCCTTCTGGTTTCAAGCTATTCTCCTGCCTCAGCCTCCCGAGTAGCTGGAATTACAGGTGCTGGCCACGATGCCCAGCTAATTTTTCTATTTTTAGTAGAGACGGGGTTTCACCATGTTGGCCAGACTGGTCTCGAATTCCTGACCTCATGATCTGCTGGGATTACAGGCATAAGCCACCGCACCCGGCCCTGGTCTTTATATCTTTATGTCAAATATCTTCCATCAAATGAAACCTAATCCTTAAATCCTACAAACGGAATGAATAAGGCGGTGCTGCAGGAGCCCTGTCTACTCACCCCTGTTCCTTCTGGCAAGTGAAGCATACTTTGGAAACCATTTCTGTAAATATGTTTTCACATAGAGAGATATTTGTCAAATGTTCTCTTTTTCAAATTATCTTACTAATCTAAATGTTTACAAGTACTTTCTGTAATATTCCAGAAGAAATAAAGAAACTATCAACTTGCAAATGTCCATAGGCTCTCAGTCAAGTAAAATAGACTTACTGCTATCATTTTAGTTACCGCTAAAAAATATGGATAAAGACTTTTTATTCTTGCTATTTGCCACCTGTGATTTGGATAGGCTGACATTTAAAGGGGTAATCTTATGGAATATTTACATATATTGCTTGCTATGGTTTGAATGCTTGTGTTCCTCCAAAATTCAGATTTTGGAATGTAACTGCCAAGGTGATGGTATTAAGAGGGAGGTACTTTGGGGAAGTGATTAAGTCACCAGCACTCAACCCTCATGAATGGAACTAGTGCTCTTATAAAAGAGGTCAAAGGGAGCAGCCTAGTCCCTTTGGCTCTTTCCCTTCCACCAGACTAATGCATAACACAGCATTAGTCTCTTCCTCCATGTGAAGAACACATGGCAAGAAGGCACCATCTTACAAGCAGAGATCAAGTCCGTATCAGACATCAAATCTAATAGGCACTTGGATCTTGGACTTCCCAGCCTCCAGAACTATGAGAAATAAATTTCGATTATTTAGTTTGTGGTATTTTGTTATAGTAACAAAAATGGACTAAGACATTGCCAGAGTACTCTGGGTTGTATTCATGCCTTTGAAAGTGCATCACTGTGATTGTTCAATACTCTGTAATGATCGTAATAACAATAATCTCCTACCTTTGTGTTCATCCATTCATGTGTTGAACGTATAGGTTCTTAGTCTCATATAGTATTTCTATATAGAACATACAGAAACATTCCAGTTTCTGTATTTGCTGAACAACACTGATCTAATGCTCATTTTCCAAAAGGAGCCCTACCCAGCAACGAGGAATTCAGATCAGGCTCAGAGTAGGGCTTAACATTTTCTTAGACAATTAATTGCTAAAATGACTAACAACATTTCCCTGGATGAGAACTACCTTATCTGAAAGACTTAGGTGTATCAAATACATGGAGCCAAGTTACCACAGGAAAACAACCGCTATTTTATTTGGTTAATTGATTTAGTAATTCCATTGACTCATGAAGCAAAACACTACATAATGAGATAAGAATAAAAGGAAATTACCCCTACCTAAGAAGGGACCCAATACTTGCTTTCATTCTTTCTATTCTCTCCCCTCACCAAAGTGAAATAGATTTAGTAAAAGTTTAAAATATTATTTCTAGGTCCACTAAAATCAGAATCTACAGAGACTGAATCTACCCCAAGTGGGATAGACATGACTTACTGCCTGTCTAAATGCCAAGTATGCAGGTATACCAGCAGGTCCCTTCCCCAGCCCTAGGGATAAGTCACGATTGGTGTAAATCAATCTCTGTAACACCATTCCTCTTTGCCACTTATTGGCTAAGGACTGAGCATGATTCATTTCTTGCCATTGGAATTTGTAGGCAAGATTATTGGGGCATATTACATAAGATTTTCCTTCTTAATAAAGACAGAGAGACAGGAGGAAAATCCTCTCCTCTTTTTGTCTTTAAATGACCAGGTGAAGAGGCAAGGGAAGTTGGGATTGTGGATGGGTTTCTTGGGACAATTCTAGCAGCCGTCATTCACCCATGAAGAAAAGTCAAGATTAGCTGAAGACAGAAAGCAACCTAGAGCCCTGATATTATTGAGCTACTGAACAAACCCTGGACCCACCTACCTTCAAACATCTTCATGTATGAGAACAGTAAATCTGTATTTTTGAAGGGAGTTTTGGCTGGATATCCTGTTACTTGCAGCCAAAAGCATCCTAACCAATATAACAGGTGATTTTGTTGCAGAACCATCCCTGAGAAGCCCTGATGAACGCGGTGATGAGGAACCTCTGTCTTATAAACTTTAGCTTCTATCTAGCTTCTTGATACAGTGCAAAATCATCATAGACAATGAATGATCAGACTACTGCCTTTGTATTGAAATTTCTCAAAAAGGTCCAGAAAATAACATTTTAGAACGTTAAAAATTAGTGCCAAAGTTTTCACTGCCATTCTTTTAGTCAAGAGAAATTATTTGGATTGTAAGATTATGTATTTCCCCTCCTCTACCCTGAAGTTAAATTATAATATTTGAATACTGAATGAAGAAAACTTGGACTTATAAACATTTGGTGGTTTTCCAAATTTCCTCTCATGAAACAAAACAACAGCAATAAAATATCACTATTACTGCTGCCGGGAGTTTCATTTCTGCTTTTTCTATTTGAAAAAATTCAAAATCTAACTCAAATGTCACCTTCTCAGTATTTCCTAACTCCAACATTGACAAACTGTCTCCCTCGTTCTCCTCTCTGAAGATTCATTCATTCATTCAACAAACAAGAGCTATTAAGCTCTTGTTATGTCCTAGTCCTTGAGCTGAGGATTCAGAAGTGAACAGTCTTAAATAGTTCCTATATTCAGATCTTGCAATCTCGTTAGAGGATGATAAATGATTCCTAAGCAATCAATGAACTATGGTTAAGTTTCAATTTTAGACACATGAGAAACAACCCCATCTCTTAATAAGTTTCATATCCTTTTCTTTTCTTCTTCTTTTTTTTTTTTTTTTTTGTGACAGAGTCTTGCTCTGTCACCCAGGCTGGAGTGCAGTGGCACAATCTTGGCTCACTGCAACCTCTGCCTTCTGGGTTCAAGCGATTCTCCTGCCTCAGCCTCCGGAATAGCTGGGATTATGGGCATGCACCACAATGCCCAGCTAATTTTTACATTTTTAGTAGAGATGGGGTTTCACCATGGTGGCTAGGCTGGTCTCAAATGCCTGACCTCGGGTGACATGCCCACCTCGGCCTCCCAAAGCCGTAACAAGTTTCTATGGTGTGCTAGGCACAAGAGTAACAAAGATGACCAAGATGCAGTCTGCCCTTTAAGGGAGGGTCAGAGACTGATACGTATTTACCAAAATCGTTTACTCTTCTGCCTGGGTCCATAGTACATTTCCAGTCTCCCTTGCAGGTCAGTGTGGCACGTGACTGAAGTCTGGTCAATGGGATGTGGGCATAAATAGTATGTGATTTCCAGTCCTCACCCATAAGAAACAATCCTCATGCAACCCTCTAATAGCTTTTCTTTTTCTGTCCGTTGCCTGGAAACTAAGGACTCCAAGGTCTTAGGGGATGGCAAAGCCGTAATATAAAAGGAGTTTTCGTTCCTGAATAATTGAGTAGAAGGCCATGGAAACTAAGGACTCCAAGGTCTTAGGGGATGCAAAGTCATAATATAAAAGGAGTTTGGGTTCCTGAATAATTGAATAGAAGGCCAACAGCTGAACACGTGAATGGACTTGACATGAACGAGAAATAAGCCTGAACTATGTTTAGTTACTGAGATTTTGTACTTTATCTCTTACAGCAGCTACTGCTGTCTTAAGGTTATATTCTTCAGTCAACAGCATTTGATGATTCTTAGCACCTCGAGGATGCTAACCCAGTCCACAAAGGCAACATCCTCTGGTTAATCTGAGAACTGAAATAAAAGCAAGCAAGAAAAACCCACGCCAACACCTGACAACAGTAAACAGGCACGCGCGAGTCACCCGGTGTATAAACAGAAAAGGCTGGGCCCTCGCTCGCGTCTCCGGCCCAGCAGGCCTGCAGGGTCCCCGCCGCGGACGCAGGGTTTATTTTTACCCTTAGTGTCTCTGGGGCCTGTCACCTGGCAGTCTCCGGCGGAGTCGACCAGGCTCCGTCTGAACGATTAGAAAGGAGCCGCTGGGGAGGCAGCGGAGCCTGGTCTAGCCACCCCGCTCTGGGGTTCCCGGTTCGCGCATCGTCCCAAGCAGAGCCGGGAGACTGCGGCGACTGCAGATAACCGGCCTCAGGGCGCGGCACCGCGTGTAGGCAGCCCCGCCTTTCGCACATACCCGCTGGGCGACTCCGCGCCGGGAGGTCCGACCCGTCGGCTCCCATACAGGCTCTGGAGTAAGCATGGGCTGGTCTGGGGCCCGCAGCGGCAGCCCCGTGTGCCTTCCGCCGGGTTTCGGGTCGGGCGGCGCGGGTGCAGAGCCGCGTGCGATGCCAGAGGCGCGTGGCTTCCCCCGGAAAGGTGGTGCCAGGCCGACCACGTACCGGCCCACGTCCCGGGGCCTCAAGCGGCACCGCGCGGCCTTTCAGCTGCTTATCCTCACTGGGTGGGTCCTCAAGCTTCTGCGGCCAGGACCAGCGAGCTCCCGGGGAAGCTACCCGGAAAGCTTACCCAGAGAGCTCAGACCCAGGCGCCGAGTCTTCCCGGAGATGACGAGACCCCGCGCGAGGAGCCCAGCGCAGGCTCCTCGGGACTCCGCGGCGCAGGTCGGGCAGCCCATTGCTTGTTTTATCGTTCCCGAAACCAACCTCTAAGTTGTTTATCAGTCCTCCACCTTTTAGCTGTACTTCTTAGAAGGGTCTTCTCAGCTGCGGTGGGAAGATAGGATTCTTTCTTAAAGTGACCAATTAAATGGCGGGATAAAAGACTTGTTCTGCCCCCACCTTTATTGCTTAACACCTGCCCTTCTTGCTGTATTTTAGATTTTTAACGCTTCTATCAGCAGTGTGATTCTATTTCATTTAATTCTCATTTCATGTTTGTGTCTTCCTTTTCTCTGTATTTCCTCTTCTGTGTGTGAAGACGCGCGCACCCCTTACCTGTTTTTCACTCCTGTAAGCAAGTGCCAATCTTAATCACCGCTTTTCAAGCAAGGAAGATTATCCTCAAATTTCTCCACCAGACAGAAACCATTCATTCTTGTCTCTCAGGTCCTCTTTTGTGATGAACCTATTGGATAGGTCCCATCCAATACCCTTCTTCAGATCATCTGAAATGATTATTTTCCTAAACTGAACTCTTCTCTCCTAAAGCTTGCAAAAATTTCTAGTGACATTCAGTTTCCTCTTACCACAGGAATGACATACATTTTTCCTTTTAGTCATATGTACTTCATTAATATATCACCTGATTTGATTAACATGACTTTGAAGAAGATTGAATTTTTTGGCTAGATTTTACTTCGTTTTTATGGCTGATAGTGTTTATAAAAATGTTTTATAGTTTATGGTCAGCTCTGAGAAAGACTAACTCAGGTCATTTGTTAATGTTGGAGCCCATTTTGTAGAATTTATTGTGCATTTATTTAAAATTCATTTGTTCATATCTATACATATATTATACATGTATACCTGCTCACAGCGTAAAGTATATCATGACCTACTTATAAGAGTCAGTGTTCTGTGAATTCACTGGAGAAGTTACAGCATTTTGATTATGATACACGAAAAGAAACCGAAGTCATTTAGCTTAACTCCTTAATTTCATAAACCAGAAAACTAAAATCCAAGATAGATTGGGTGACTTGGTCTAGATCACAAATCAAAGTTATCCATAATTCAGTAGTGTAATGCCTGGTCCAAAACCTCAGAGATAATCTTATAATCAATGAACTCTTTCAGAATGCTAGTCAAAATGTCCCTTTGTGTGAATTTTAATGTACCTTCATCAACTGAATGATATTCTTCCCCATACATAAAGTGTTATCTTTTCATTGTCCATTTCAAAATTTTCCTTGTTAATATTAAAGTTCTAGGAAAAAAGGCTAAGAATAACTGCACATTTATTATCTCAGTGTGTATCATACCATTTGGTCCTTTGAGGTTGCAACAAGTAAAAAACAAACATAAAACCCTTAAAATAAAAAGAAAAAACTTTGCACTGACAATGTTATAGAATTATCATCCATAAATTTACTTATTTTCTTGAAAAATTTATTTTCTTTAATTTCATTTGTTTCCTGTTATATGATTTGTATTTAAATTTACATTTATTTATCCAGAGACTATGCCCAAATTTTATGTCTTCTTGTCTGTTATCCTGGAGTTTGGTAAAGAAATCTGTACTTAATTTAAAAAAGAAATCCCTCTAACTGAAAATATTGTCAGTTAGCTAACTATATATTTCTTAGGCCCATGTCAAGTTATCATTGCTTATTTTAATAAAGATTGTTTAGACTAAGAAAATAGTATTTAATTAATAAGGGATGGCATCTGTTAAGTATAAACACTGGATTATTTTTCATAACAGATCAACAATATAGTTTTGAGGCTGAACTCTTTTACTCCTTTTACTGTAAGTTATTGAAGCCAAACTCCTTCCTACCGTTGTTCATTTATGATGGTGTAAAATTTTTAAATTAGGATCTACATACAGAACAATGCAGAATTACATAAAAATATTTGAATATTGAAAAATAAAGTGGAAATTATTATTATTCAGGTACAGGGTCTTGCTCTGTCACCCTGGAGTGCAGTGGAATGATTACAGCTCACTACAGCCTCAAATTCTTGGGCTCAAGCAATCCTCCTGCCTTAGCCTCCCTATGTTAACCAGGCTGGTCTTGGACTTCTGGCAGCAAGTGATCCTCCTGCCCTGGCCTCCTAAATTGCAGGAATTATAGGCATGAGCTACCATGCCTAGTCCTGAAATTACTATCGTCTTCCTTAACACCCCCCCCCAAAAAAACCCATAAGCTTCCTTTTTTTCTTCATATTTACATTTTAATTGTATATGCTGCAATGGGCTATTTGTATCACCCGAAAGTCAAGTGTTGAAATCCTAACCCCCAATATGATACATTAGGAGGTAGGGCCTTTGGGAGGTAATCAGGTCACAAGGGTAGCACCCTCATGAACAGGATTAGTATCCTTATAAAAAGACAAGAGCTTGCTTTTTTTCTCTGCTCTTGCTATGTGAGGCTATAGCAAGAAGATGACCTGGCCTGGCGCGGTGGCTCACGCCTGTAATCTCAGCACTTTGGGAGGTGGGGAGGCAGGAGGATCACGAGGTCAGGAGATCGAGACCATCCTGGCTACACGGTGAAACCCTGTCTCTACTGAAAATACAGAAAAATTAGCCAGGCATGGTGGCAGGCGCCTGTAGTCCCAGCTACTCCTATGCTGAGGCGGGAGAATGGAGTGAACCCAGGAGGCGGAGCTTGCAGTGAACCAAGATCGCACCACTGTACTCCAGCCTGGGAGACAGCAAGACTCTGTCTAAAAAAAAAAAAAAAAAAAAAAAGAAGATGACCATCTGCAAACCAGGAAGTGGGCCCTAACCAGATACCATATGTGCTGGCACCCTCCGGACTGAAAAACAAATGTTTGTTGTGTATGACACTCAGTCTATGGTAATTTGTTATAGCAGCCCAAAGTGACTAAGACAGATGCTTACAAATCGAGATTTATTTTAAAAACTATTCTCTTGCTATGAGTTCAATATTTTTATTTCTTTACAATGATTTCAGAAGATATTACAAAGAGATTAATATACCTAAAGAATCAGACTCTTGCAAACAGTGACATCATTAAAAAGGGCTGATTTTCATTAACATATGATTAACAGGAAAGAGATGATTGGTGAGTTTTCTTCATAACCAGGTTCACTGTGGATAGGAAGGGCCTGCCTTCCTTCCCACCATGGAGATCCTAAAATCACAAGCTCCAGCCTCCATCAATGATGACAGGGTTACCAGTTACATAAGCAGACTGCAGTGATAAACATAAGGAGACAGAACAATTAACCAGGTTTGATACAGGCTGTATTTTCAAATTTTCCTATGACTAAGATAACTAAACAATTTACTCTTGTCCTAACAGGAAACCTCACTTAAACACTTAATTCAGGGAAATCCAAATTAACGTTTGGTTGATTGAGAACTGCTGAGTGTCCTGTGATCTGGAACTAAATGGCCTCTGGCTGGGGTCTAAGCACCTGTCACTGTTAGGTATTTGGTCTCAGAATCCCCGAATTAAGGAACGGTGATGTATAGCCATTCCCCAAATTAGGGTATAGACGAAAAGCACATTTTCATTTTGAAACTCAGAACTATTCAAAACTAGCTAAGCTTTATGCCACTAATAAATTTTTGAACATAAGTGTATCAGTCATAAAATGGTCATATTAATGACCAGTTTAAAAAAAAAAGGCAGCATGTATTTAGTTGATCAATATAAGTGGATAATTCTAGGATCTGAAGCACACTAAATGTGTTTTTAAAATTTACATGAATAATAATAATAACTATAATCTATTAAGCTATAAAAATATTCTATATTAGTTTCAGATATCCAAATCTCTATAAAACTGAGGGATTTAAAAAATAATTACTGATTTATTCTCATAAATTTTTCATTTTCTAAATAAGGCTGAAGTGATCTTTTTGGTAGAAGTTTAAAAATCTTCTAACTTAAAATGGATAATAAAAACTCAAACAGTCTAAATTCATCTAAAGCCTGAAACAATGGAAGAGGATGTAAGGACATCATAATGAATAGATAAATTTTAAGAGTTCAATATATAAAAGCTGATCATATACAGTAGGTGAACTAGGGAGTTATTAGTCACTTTACCAAAGAAATACATCCAACTCCCCCAAGTTCTCTTAAAAGGCAAGCTCTGTTACGCATATGAACTCCTCTGGAAACTTCTAAAAAGCCAAAGGTATTTTGTAGCACATGTCAAGCCAGAACACTTCCAAATATTTTGTAACCTAAGCTCTGGCTAACTAAGGGTAATTTAGCTTATCAGCAGTACCCAAATCAAATGAGCTCTTCTGAAGATATGGATTCAGAGAAATCACAAAGGCTCATGTGCTTCTCCTTTAAACATTTGTCTATTAATCTCCCCAGCTATTAACAATTGTTGTTAATAATTGGGAGAAGTTCTGAGAAGAAACTGCACTGTTATGGAAACATTTCAATCCCTGTATTTGTCACATTCACCAACTATCTGGTGTGCACCAAGTTACTGGGAAGAGGAGTTATCAGTTGTTCCCTCCTCACTTCCACCTAGTCCCCTTTCCTTCCCTCTTCTCACACATTACAGTTCCTTGTTCACGTAGTATTCAGAGACATAAAACGGAGGAGGAGGTTCTTGTGTTTTATACCTTATAAACATCATTTTTGCTTTCATCTTAAGCCATTTAAAAGTATACAATGGCCATTAAGGAAAAAACTGTTAAACAGATGCAAAGTGGAAGAGATTAAATTAGGAATTTCCATACACAATAACAAGTAAAAATTTTAAAAATATGTATTTATTTTGAGATGGAGTCTCGCTGTGTTGCCCAGGCTGGAGTGCAGTGGCGCAATCTCGGCTCACTGCAGTCTCCGCCTACCTGGTTCAAGCGATTCTCCTGCCTTAGCCTCCCGAGTAGCTGGCGGGCTGCCACCACACCCGGCTATTTTCTGTTTTCAGTAGAGACGGGGTTTCACCATGTTGGCCAGGCTGGTCTGAAACTCCGGAACTCAGGTGATCCGCCTGCCTCGACCTCCCAAAGTGCTGGGATTACAGGCGTGAGCCACCATGCCCGGCCATAAGTAAGAATTAATAGAGAAAAAAGAGCCAGTGGAATTCTCCCAAACAAGTCACAAGTAAGACTAAAACACCACATGCCAATTCTGTGTCCACTGAACACAAATCTGCTTAATCTTCTCCCCATTTCACTTAAAGCTCTTAAAATCCTAGAGGTTCATTTGTTTGACTTGAATTTAATCAGGGTTTCCCCAGTTATAATTTTTGAAAGGAACTGTCTCTCAGAAAATTGAGCACTTTAACTTTTTTAGTCCTCCTTTTTGTTTGCTACAAGATTTTATGTAAAGCTGAATAAGGAAGAGTTAGTGGCTCACATCAAAGTGGTCTTTCTTTGAGCAAATTAAATGAGAACTTATCCCTATCTTATAAATGTAGCATCTTAGCATATATATGCCATAAACTCTCTAAAAGGATATTATTTTGATGAGCAAATTGTGGTCAAATGTGATTGGGGACAATGAACTCCTTGGGAAGAATAGCGCTTACTTCATCAGAAGCCAAATACACGCAGAGCATGGCTATTTCTTCTGCAGTTGCAAATCTTCCCGTCTTTTGTCTCTTCAGGAAATCATTCCGTGCCTGTGACCAGAGACCATACCAGACATCAGTGATGGTAGCAGCTGTATCTGCTCACCTGCATCTTCTTCAAGGAGTTAAAGGCAAGAGAATCCACTGGCTTGCTGCCTTGATGAATAATCAGCTAGGGTTATGGTGATTCTGTTGCCAAAGTTAATTGTTTGTGTTATATTAAAACCCACAGATATTGTGACAGATCAGAAAGCTAATATTAAAGGATGAAGGCATTTTTTTCATCTTCAAAAATTGTGGTAAAGTATACAGAATATAAAATTCACTATCTTAACCATTTTAAGTGTATAGTAGTTCAATAGTGTTATGTACATGCACACTGTTGTGCCACCATCACCAGTGTCC